TTGGCACAGGACAGAGCAGAGTTTAGGGCTGTTGTACATAGGGTCGCTATGAGTCGCAAGCGACTCGATGGCACATAACAACAACAACTGTAAAGGGAGCTCTGGTGGCCTAGTGTGTAGGAAATTGTGTCCCAAACCAAAGGTGGTTTAATCCATCAGTGATGCCATTGGAGAAATATAGAAAATCTCCTCCTGTACAATTGTCAGTATCAGAAAGCCACTTATGAGTCAGTTATGAGTCGGTTCCAACTTGATGGCAAGGAATTAGGGGAAGGTTTGTTTGTTTGTTTGGTTGGTTGGTTGGTTGGTTGGTTGGTTGGTTGATTGATTGGTTGGTTGATAAGGATGATAGAAAAAGAATCGATACCTTCGAGTTGTGGTGCTGGAAAAGAGTACTGACTACCCCATAGACTGTCAAAAGAACAAACAGTTGTGTGTTAGGGGAAAATGCAGCCCGAATGCTTCTTGGATGCAAAGATGGTGAAGCTTCATCTTTCATACTTTGGACATGTAGCTAGGTGAGGCTATTTATTCCTCAGAAGGTTATTTTCATGCTTGAAAAGATGGAGGGTCAGTAAAGGAGAGGAAGACCCTAATGAGATGAATTGACCTGGTCACTTCAGAAATGAGATCAAGTGTGTTAGAGATAGTGAGGATGGCACAGGACGGGGAAGGGTTCAAGTTGGCCATTCCTGGGTAGCTATGAGTTGGCCCCTTTATAGCAACAGAACTAATAATGAACTGTTTGGAGCCATTAACAGTTGAGACAAATTTTATATGATTTGTGCTCAACTACTAATCTACAGATTGGTGTTTTGAATCCACCCTATGGAGCCATAGAAAAACAATTTGGTTGTTGGTGTCCCTAAAGATTGTTGTTGTTCTTGTTGTTGTTGTTGTGTGCTGTCAAGTTGACTATGCCTAACAATGATGCTGTGAACAACATTGAAACCTTGCCCTATCCTGCGTCATTGTCACCATTTCTGACACACCCGAGCCCATTGTTAAAGTCACTGCGTCAATCTAACTGGTTCGGTATCTATTGTTACAGACACTGCATCAATCCATCTGGTTAGGCATCTTCCTTTCTTCCTCTGACCCTCCTCCTTTTCCAGCAGGATGTCTTTTCCCAAGCACTGATCCCTTGACTATTATTACACACTGTCAAGTCAGAACCAGCTCACAGCAGAGACTCCAGTGGGTTTTCAAAGGCTTCAAATTGCTCAAGAGATTGCCCGTCTTTCTTCCGTAGAGTAGCTGGTGGGTTTAAGCTGGTGGTTAAGTTTGCCTTAGCTCAGAAAATCCTGAGAAGCAGTTCTACTCTGTGTTACATGGGCTGAAATGAATTGGAATCAATTCCATGGCCAGCAAGTTTGGTGTGTTTCGTTTTGGGGACATGGTGGGGTTACCCTGATTTAAAGTATTAAATGGGTTAAGTTCGCCAGGCTCAGATCTGAAAGCTGCCTATACCAGGAAGGCCTTGAGGCAGAGGATGCCCGGGTTCACAACGATGCTTCCTTAGACGATTAAATGTCCAGAGTTACCACCTCTCTTCCCTGCCAGTTGGGGCTGGGTGAGCCCGGTATCTGTCGTGAATCAAACCTCTGCATCGTTGCGTGCAAAAGAACATGACATTTTCTTCTCCACCACTGACATTTAACAGCACAGAAAACTCTCCATTTTCTTGTTGCGACTGTGCAGAAATGTCATTTTCTTCAACAGAAGGGAAACGGCAGATTCCTCTGAATGAACATTTTCTTGCTGGGTTGGCAAGCGCAGACCTTAAGCCAGAGGAAATTTTGGAATCTGTGTATATCCCTCATTCTCACAAGGTAAGGAATCCGTGGATGGCTTTTGAGAGTTGTTTTTCCATTTCCCTAACTGCGATCAGACATCTTCAGAAATGGAGAAGCAGATGGGAAGAAAAGAAGTGCGCTGAAAACCTGTTTCCTGTCACACTGTGGGCTGGCCCTGCACCAAGACCCTCCGCCAGGCAGGGCTGTGAACCAGTTCTTCCTGGTCTGTGACGGTCGAGGAAGTAAAACTGAAAAAGACGCTAATTTTTTTTCACTTGGCAAAAATCTAACCTCCATTTTAGAAAACAAGAGCAGTGTGTACATTGCATAGCGACCTAATCCTTTGCCCAGTGGATTTTGAGTCAGAAACATCACTGTCCCACTCTAAGACAGCAGTCTACTGCATCGCTTTAAACGTGAAGGATAGGGGTCTACCACACCACTTATAAAGCGAATTGCTTTCCACAGACTATTGCCAATAATTCAATATTCTACATCAGGCAGGAGCCTTTTCTAAGTGGGAGGATAGCTTCTTCCAAGTCTCTCAGTCCAGGGCTGTGAACCATGATTTTTTTTTTTTTTTTTTTTTTTTTTTTGCTGCTACACTCTGGATCGCTCAAACTTTTAAAAACGTCTGGCTCTGTTTCATTTTCACTTTGATAGCCAAGACTGAAGCAGTCAGGAGCCCTGTGGTGAGTGAGCAGTTCTGGGTGTGGTTTGGAGTTGTTGTTTCAGCTGGGGGTGGGGCTTACTGGGGTCTGTAGAAGTCCTTTTATATCTCTGGTGGCCCTGGGGACTCTTGGGAGGCAGAAGTGAAAGCTGAGGTTCCTCTGCCTGACCCACAAGGAGAGGGCAGCCAGGACTGCCCATTCTAGCCAAGTCCCTTATTTCCTAGGAGCCTCTGGGTTCATGCAGCCACCCAGCTAGCTACAGGGATGGCTGTCAGACCTCACACACTGCTTTCTGCACCTGTTCCCTAAAGCTGTACTTGACCTCAAAAGGACAGAGACGCAACGTCACACAACACATATGCTCGCATACACACATACTAGCTCATAAGTCAGCTTGGTTATGGAAGAAGTCATGCTCTCAGCCATGTATATGGTCTTCATTCAATTTTCATTTCAGTGATTTGTTTGTTTCCTAGATCTGCCTTAACAAACAAAGGACCATAATCTGGTGGCTTAAGACAACAGAATTGTGTTGTCTCATAATTATGAGGGTAAAAATCCAAAATCCAGTTATCAACAGGATCAATGCTCCCTCTGAGCATTGCAGGGAAAGTCTTGCTTTGTCCTAGTTTCTGGTGGTTCCTGGCAATTCTTGACGTTCTCTGGTTTGTAATGCATCACTCCAAACCTTGACCCTCTCTCTATGGCCATCTTCCCCTGCATCTGTATCTATTCATTTTAGAATAGGACCCTCCTACTTCAGACTTTGCTCACAACACCTTCAGATACCTTACTTCCAGACAGGGTCACAGTCACAGGCGGTGTTAGGACTACAACATATTTTTTCCAAAAAACGAAATTCAACCCAGGACAGAATCAGTACTTTTAGAAAGATTTCCAGTCAAATGTGCATCCATGGAAATGCAAGTGACAGAAAAAGACTTGCTCAACCCTGAGCAACCTCAGTGGCTTCCTGGGTGGAAACCCAGTAAGGGACACAGGCCTGCTTCACTGTTCTATGTGGGCACACCAGCAGCAGTGATACGGGGATGCTGGGGCAACTGGGGCAGACTTCCACCCTCTGAAGCTTTTTCCTAGCTCACCCCTGCTGCAAAGTTCCTTTTCTAAAATTCCTTTGAAAGATGAAAAAGCAATCATTCCCACAGAGAGAGGGCTGTGATAGGACAGTCTCCTTTGAACTTTAGGCAAATCATCTTTAAAAGTACCTGTATTAGGAGGCCACCCCCATATTCCCAGGGAGCAAAGGGGTCCGAAGACTAGAGGAGATGGTCCCTGGAGATAGTGCACGTGGCATTGTTTCCAGGTGTCAGTTTCCAAGGCATTCCTATGCAGAGACATTCTGGTTCTCGAGGAAAAACACCCAGGAATCTAGTTCTTTTAGCATGTCCAGAACATTCGGGAAGGTGGCTTGGGGAGGCATCATTCTTACTCTGAAAGAGAAGCCAGCCAAAGCATCCACTAATTGTGCCAGATCTCCTCGGCACCTTTTTTATTGAGTCCAAGTGATTTGTGGCCCCAAGAAGCAAAAACTACAGTCTTTGTTTTATCATTCCAATGGTCTTTGTCCCTGCAGTGGGAATTTGTGTCAGCCTTCCGACAGGCCGAGTGCCGACAAAATGCCTTGGCTGATGTGAATGCTGGTCTGAGAGTCGTCTTTGAAGAAGGCACAGACACCATCGCAGGCCTGAGCCTAGCCTATGGAGGGGTGGGGGCTGCCACCATCAGTGCCCCCCAGACCTGCCAGCAGCTCCTTGGGAGGTGAGCTCTGCAGCCTAAGGGGGGAAACTGAACATTGATAGTAACATGTAAAAATCAATTCTGCTGAGTGTTGGCAAAGCCCTGCGCAAGTGAAAATCTCTCTGTAAATTCATTGCTTGTTCTCTCTGTATTGTTGCGAAATGAATCACACTGGATTGGACTTTGATTAATTGCTGGCCAGCTTTTTTGGAGAGGGGAGAATAGCTCTGGACTGAGCCCAACCAGTGGGTTATTTCTTCCCATCTGGCCCACACTCCTGAATATGTATCAACAGTCCAGCAAAGCCACACTGGACGGCATCCCAGTGACCCGAAGTACTCCCACTGCTCAAGAGTGCCGTTTCCTCCTGAGTCTGTTCTGTTCATGATAGCGTTGGCCCTAGCCACGTATTTACTTAGTATCTAGTTCTAGCACGTTCTCGGTTAGGCAGCAGGTCACCATGGAACAGGTCCCATCCTCACTCTGCCATGACCTGTATGTAGGCCACATGGTGCTGTCTCACCAGGCCTCCATTTTCCTGATTGGCTAAATGATTTCAAAGTTCCTGTCAATTCAAAAAAGGGGTCCTGTGATCTCTACAATGACCCCACCCCGTACCGAGCATATGGGATCCCTGGGTGGAGTAAATTATAAACAACATGCTCGGCTGAGAGGCTGGAGGTTCGAGTTCACCCAGGGACACCATGGAAGAAAGACCTAGAACCCCTTAAAGAACCCTTTGGAGAAGTTGGAAATGGTTAATGGTGAGGACAATTAATGTTGTCAATATGTTGACAGTACTTGTGACAATTTTAGAAATAGCAAAGATTCTGTCATCTATACACTATCTATAGACTTAGCTCTGCTGGCCCAGTTGTGAGGAGTTGCACTGCCAGTCCAAAGGCAGGCTTATCTGAACCCACCTGCTGCTCTATGGGAGAATGATGAGCATTCTCTTCCTGTACTATTTACAGCTTCTGAAAACCCACTGGAGGGTCAGCTATGAGTTTGTTCTGATTCAGTCGCACATTATTGATATCTATATACTTAGTTTAAAATCAAACCTCAACAAGGGCTCCTTTATGGAGCCCAGTTCCCAAGAGCCAGATCCGCTGGGGTTTTGCAAATTGCAATTGAGGCTGCCTTTCTCCAACCCCTCCCCACCCCCAAAGATCTCAAGGATTTTCTTTTACCTGGGTTCAAATAAGCACCCATGGAAACAGTAAACAAGAGTTCAAACAATATACTGGATTTGTAAATTTGGTATCTAGACCTCTTTTTTTAATTGAAATTTTAATGAAAATTTGTAGTTTGGATTTCCATTCATTCATTGTTTCACATTTTCCTCCCTGCCCACCCCTCCCCCCCAGCTGGTTTTCTTCTTTGAAAAGTTAAAAAAACAAAAAATTCTTTCATTATTGAACAATCCCACCCCCACTCCCAGACCACGCCACCATGCAGCCCTCGTTTGTGACTGCCGTTTTATTTCTGTTCCCACCAGGCACTGGAACCAGCTAATGCTGGATGAGGCCTACAGGCTGCTTCTGGAGGAAATCTCTCTCCCAGGTTCAGCTCCGGGAGGGAAGGTGGAATTCAAGAGGAGTCTGATTGTCAGCTTCTTCTTCAAGTTCTACCTACAAGTTTTGCAGGAACTCAAAGAACTACGGAGGCTATTCCCTAAATCTGTAAGTGCTTTGGATTGTGTATGCTCCATGCAGCTCCAAACTCCAAGCCTTCCCTCATTTTTCCAGACTTTGCTGTTCTTGCCCAGGTGTAGTCAGAACCCAGCCAACCCTTCTTCCATGATTCAGCCTTACATAGGCTGTGGGTCAAGATGCCCAATTCCACCCACAATTCCTTTAGGCCCTGGGGACTGCGTTGTGGTGTCCCTGCCTCCAGCAGGCAATTTTTTTTCTTTCAAAATCTACTTTATTAAAGTATAATTTACATATCTTGAAATGTGTCCATTTAAGTTTGGTGAATTTAAACGAATTTGTAAGATTGTGTTGTTACCACCACAAACAAGGTATGAAAGATTTCCATCAGCCCAAAAAGTGCTAACTGGACCCAGAAACTCCCTTGTGTCCTTTTGTAGTCAATCCTCCCACTCTTGGCACCGGCGACCACAGATATGTTTTGTGCCACTCTAAATTGGTTCTGCTTTTTCTAGAAATTTATGTGCAATATAAAATGTAAAATAAAACTTTATTTTTCAAAAACATCAAAACTAGTGCATAGGTTAATATTTAAATATTACCAGAGCAAAAAATGAGGAAATAGATGATTTCTATCAACTGTTGCAGTCAGAAATCAATCAAACATGTAACCAAGATGCATTAATAATAATGGGTGACTGGAATGCAAAAGTTGGGAACCAGGAAGAAGGATGAGTAGTCCGAAAATAAAGACTTCATGACCAGAAATGACGCTGGGAATAGAATGATAGAAAATGATAAAATTCTGTACAATCAATGATTTATTCATAGCAAATACCTTTTATAAGAAATATAAACACACGTTTACACATGGATTTCACCTGACGGAATGCATAGGAATCAGATTTATTACATCTGTGGAAGGAACCATTGGAGAAGTTCAATATCAGCAGTTTTTACTAGGCCAGGTGCTGACTGTGGAACAGACCATCAACTGCTCATATGCAAAAACTAAAGAAGGTTAAATCATATCCACAGGAATCAAAATTTAACGGTGAGTCTCTCTCCCTTTAACCCTTTAACCATGAGTCTATCTCCCATGAATTTAAAAACCACCTCAGAAATAGATTTGAGGCCTTGAACACTAATGAACAAAGACCAGATAAGCTGTGGGAAGATAACAAGAATATTGTCCATGAAGAATGCAAAAGCTATCACAAAGTAGGAAGGAGAAGGAGAAGAAAAGCCCAAAATGGATGTCAGAAGAGAATGAATATAAGGATCCAAGGGGTAAGAGAGGTTGGAAGCAGAAGGATGAGGATGTGCAGGGGAAGGGAGGGATTAATCATGAGGTTATACAATTTGTTTGATGGGGGGATTAGGGAAATTGAAAGAATTTGTTCTTGAAGACAATGTATTTAAATTTTGTAAATAAACTAGTAGAAAAATTTAAAAAAAAAAAGACTCTGAATAT